GAGGGCGCCGGAAGCCCCCGCGCGGCATTGAAAGAGCGGAGTGGCGGCGGCGGCGGCGGCGGTGGTTGGGGCAGAGCGGGCTTGGAAGGCGAGGGGGGGGTTCCCTCCGGTGGGGACGCCAGCATGGAAGCGCCCTCGGTAGCAGCATCGTTGGTGGCCGCGGAAGAGGCGATAGCGGCGGTCTCGGCGTCGGCGTCGGCGGCCGCTCCTCGTCCGGACGCGGGTCCCTCGGAGCCCTCCAAGGAGACGGACCGCCAGCTGCGCCTTCGCCTGTGCGTCCTCAACGAGATCCTGGGCACCGAACGGGACTACGTGGGCACCCTGCGCTTCCTGCAGTCGGTGAGCTTTCAAGGAGGGCATCGGCCGGGGCGAGGGCGCGTTGTTTGGGGAGGGTCGTCGGGGGGCAGACGGAAGGTCGCGGGGACGAAAGATGGGCAGCGCCCGGGAGGATCTGCCCGGTCAGGAGCGGAACCTGCCTCTGCGTTCGAGGGTCCTTTAGATGGCCCTAAAGGAGAGGAGTGGGTCGCGGAAAAGGAGCATTTCCACGCTGCTGTGCGGCCAGGCAGTGTGGCCACATCGTTGCACCGAGAGCGGTGCATAGGTTGTGGTGATAAGGCTGGCGGTAGTGGCTGTCCGGCCAGGGGAAGGAAGGACTGCTTGCATGAGGACCGACCGAAGGGCATTCTCTGGATCACTGAGCATGTGACCACCAAACAAGTTGGAGGTTTAGGCTGGAACTCTGCAAACGGGCATCCCCTCTAGACGGGCGTCTTGCAGACCAGCATCACCTGTAAGAATGGAGTGAAATATAAGCAGTTTTCAACCCTACTGGAGAAGGATCACCAGTGCAGGCAGCGGATTGGTGTGTTTTGCTTTGGAGCCTGAGATTGTCGGAGGACGAGTGCAGCGAGGAAAGTGTGTTCTGCCACTCATGCACACTGGTTTGGCATGGTGTACTTTGCTTTAGGCAGGAGCTGGCGTTCTGGGTGGCATGGTTTACTCAGGGTGAGCACTAAGAGACAGCGGTGGGTACTGGCACAAGTTCAGCTGAGAGGACGCAGTTGAGTATTGGCAGGTTAAAAGCGAGTGGTTGATTTGCAGGCTGGGATCCAGGAGGCAGGAGAGGCCACCCATCATCTAGGCTTCTTTAAACACTGTGTTTATGTTCCTGTCAGTGCAGTGGACGCTCTTTGAGCTTAAGCGATAGCTATCTGTGGACTTCCTGCTGGGTGGTGGCGAGTAACACAGTATTTAGTCCATGCTGAGAAAACTGACCCTTATTACAGCTTGTTTTTTAAATTGCTCCTTTCAAGATCCAAAAGCTTTCAAGATGTTTACACAGATGATCATTCTTGGGATAGTTCATTAGGTGCGACTGTTGGCATAGGAGGGAGCCTTTTGCAAACAATGGTGATAGAGAATGCGTTAAGCTTTTTGTAGACTACAAATGATATAAAAACATCCTGTCTTAAATTTTTTTTGTCTTTTTGTTTGTTTGGGGTTTTCTTTTTTTTTACTTTGTTCACTTGAATGCTGTTGAGTAGAATGAAGTATGTGGTTGATATTTAGTGATCTTTATAGTTTTCCAGAAAAGAACCTTGTATTTCTCTGGGACTCATTTAATTTAATATCTGAATTAATATCTAATATTATTAATATCAGATACTATTAATAGTTGTAGATGTTTATCTATTTAATTTGTCTTTCATAATAGTAAAGACAGAAGGATATTAGAAGATGTCTGTCTGTCCAAAAGAGGAGTAATTAGTGTTCTTATAAGAAGTAGAAATTATTTTTTGAAAAAAGTTTTCCCATCTACAGTTCTTCATTTGCAGCCATGGTGCTCAGAACTCATCAGCATGCCACAGCGCTTCTGCCTTTGCACACAATCCCTTTGAGGCTGAGAAGGAACAGTTAGTTTTGAGCATTGCCTGCAAACATCCACACTTGTGTTAGCTTTCTACAGCTTCTTTGTTAGTAGCACAGTGAGCACGAACTGGTGTAGCTTTACATTCTGAGTGTCCTGCATCACATCATATATCCAGTTGACATGAGTCAGCCTTTGAGAGATCGGTACAGCAACGTGTTTGGCATTATGTATGTGCTGATTACATCCAGACTAGATTGCTGTACAGAGGTGGGCTGCATTTAAAGATAGTTTGGAAGTATCTGCTGGTGCAAATTTTTGCGGCCAGAATGTTTGTTAAGGGTAGGCAGTTTGCTCAAATCATACCAATTTTGTATAAGTTGCTGAAGGTACTAACTTTAGAAACCGTGAATGGGTTGGTATCAGATGGTTGGAAGGACTGCCAACATTTTAATGACTTTGCCTAGACATTATCCACTTTGCTCCAATTCTCTAGTATACCACCAAGACCATTCTGCTTGGTAGGACCAAGGACAGAGCCCAAGGTGTCTGCAAGGTGGTGTTGTTTTGAGGGGAGGGGACAAAGCACCATTATGTGATCATAATGCACGTGCATCCCCATTTCAAGACATTTCTGAGGTTTACTTCTGTCTCACCATGCATGTTTTCAGCCTTATTACCATATTCAGTGACGTTTTAAAGCCTACAGACAGTGGGAGAGAATTTTTCGGAACTTGGAAATTGACTGTGTTGTTGTAGAACCGAAAAGGTCTATGTGCTCTTGCAAAAGTAGAAAAGTGGGAAAAGATATGAAAGATATGGTGGGGAAGAGGAGCCTCCCCCAACCTAGGTGAGGAAAGAGATGCAAGTCTATCTATTTCTCAGATGCTTTATTCCACAATTCAAAAGTACTGTATTAGCAGAGACTCCCATTCATAGTACTATGCATGGCCCTTTGAAGGGAAAAGATGGGTCAGACTGTTGGGATTTTCCCTGAAAGTGTTAGTTTCATGGCAGAACCAGAAGGGAGGTGGAGCTGTAAAGAAATTGCATCTCTTTACTGACACAGAAGATAGAGGTGGAAGATGGGAATGCTGAAAAGTCATTTTAACTCCACTTCCCTGTTTAGCATCAGATACTTTAGAAATGAGCTAACAGCATTCTCCTCTTTCACGTGTGCATGCACACAAAGAATGAGATGAGATGATGTTGCTTTTATGACTTCTCCTTTGCAGCCATTGAATCATAAGAATCATGGACAAATCTTACTGCAAAGCTGGATTTCCTTCCTCTCTCTTTTCACATATACTAGATCCTTTTCTGGCTACATAACAGGAGGAATTCCATGAGTTAACACCTGATTTAAAAGAAAATAGTTACTTTAAGGGATGACTCCAACTTCAGTCTTCATTGTCTCTTACTGTGGTTGCAGACAATAGTCTGTAATCTTCTAAACTTTGCAATTACTGTGACCACTGCCTTCATGCTGTTGATGTATTATTTTAGTGGAATGTGTTTCTATAAAAAGCACATGGTCACTTGACCATCAATCCCAGAAAAAACAAGTGAAACCTCTCTGTTCTCTCTGAATTTGTGATTTTTGTTATCTGCAGGCTGAGCTATTAGCCATTGATTTTTTGCCCAGAGTGATTGAAGAACTTTTGACTTCAATATGTCACAGTTAATGGATGTGTGTTTCTGTGACAGGTTCTTTCCTCTGACTGACAGGTGGAGTCCCATGTTCCCATGTATGTATGTTTGTATCATGGTTAGCATTTCCTGAAAAAGAGCGGAAAAAGACCCTGGATCTTAATGTCCATTTGAGGAGTAGATATTACGTGGGACTCAAATTGACATAAATCAAAAGAAACAAGTGAAGAAGCCATGCTGGCCAAGAGATTCCAGAAGCTGTTTTTTTTTTTTTTTTTAGCTTTTTAAAAAAGTAGCTTTTTCATGCTGCATTTTCAAGGAAAATCGCATTGGCACCATATCTGCAGTACAGAGGAATGTGTGCATGTAAATAAGGCCAAGTGGGAAGAAGCATTTCTTCTAGCCAGCAGGGAACACTGTTGAACCCCACTTTCATCTGTCTTAGCATGAAGAGTATGAGACCCTCTTGGGCTGAAAGTAAATAACTCAAGTGTCCTGTCCCTTTCCTTTTAGCTGAGCTATACTTGATAGTAACTTACGGTGGAGACACTGGGTTAATGTTGTTGCTAACTTGCTTCTTAAGCTGTGTTGAGTTGAATGATTAATTCCATCAGTCAAAGAATTGCTAGTTAGATTCATCCTTATTGGCCTAAGTGATTTGGACTATGGAAAAGAGAACAGACTTGCTCTCCAGAGGACAGGATAAGAATCAATAGGTGGCAGTAATCACTCTGTGTGCGTGGAGGCAGATTTCAGCTAAACATTATGTGATACTTCCAAGCAATGAAAACATACCAAAAAGCATTGGAAGATGGTGAGATTCTTCTTCACCTGAGATACCTAGGCAGAGGTTGGATGGCCATCTCTCAGTCATGCTCTACTTGCATCTTGTTCTGTAGATCAGTGGTTCTTAACCTTTGTTACTCGGATGCTTTTGAACTGCAACTCCCAGAAACCCCAGTCAGCACAGCTGGTGGTGAAGGCTTCTGGGAGTTGCAGTCCAAAACTCCTGAGTAACCCAAGGTTAAGAACCAGTGCTGTAGATTCTGCATGAAGCAGGAAGCTGGACTAGAAAACCTTCAAGTGAGTAAAAATTCTTAAAAGGTAGAGTCTGTAGGCCTAGTTTTTGCACAAGTGACCAGAATGTGTACGGGCTTTTCCACTTTGGGCTACTTATTTGACTGAAATCTACCATACCAAACAAATGGTCATTCCTCCATATAGAAAAAACAAACACGAAGATTAGGCTGTAATCCTTTTCTAGGACATCTGGCTTTCTATGTATCTAGGATTTTTTGAATAGAAAAGCATTCAGTCCTGTGATGTAGCGTAGCACAGCCCAGATAGTGGCTCACCTTGCCAGCAACAACCAAAGGTTGTTAACACTTTAAGACACCTGTTTCTGCATGTGTTAATTCTGTCCCATTGAGTTAAATGACTGTTACTACCTAAGGGCTGACGATCTAAATACCGTATAAGATCCAGGGCCTTTAATAAAGACCCTGGGGGACTTGCTTTGCCAGCTGTTTAGTGGAAGGAAGACTGAAAGTAAAAGCAACTGACTAGCCATTGCACACAAATTAAGATCTGACACTACGTTATGGGGGGTTATTGAACTATGAAATTCTTATGGTATCTTGGGGTAACCTTGTCTGCCTGCTGTGTGTATGGAACATCTTATTCCAGAGTTGGGAGAGAAAGAGTGTACTAGTGGAGCAGTAAAATAAGAGGTGCTGCCTATTGCTAAGGTCCTAGTACTAGTGTTGGAACATCTTATTCCAGAGTTGGGAGAGAAAAAGTGTACTAGTAGAGCAGTAAAATG